GTAAAATATTATTTTATTGAATAATGTGTAGTTGAAAATGAGTAGAAGAATGAGAATGAAAAAAACAATGTGTACCAAACAAGGCCTTATTATCCCTTTTTGAACAAAATTTACTAAGGGCTTGTTTGTGAATAATTTTAATCTAATTAAAATTGAAAATATAACCGTTATTTGGTCTCATCCGTCTAATGAAAGTCAACAATAAAGATTAATTTTTCAATTTTAATCCAATTTTAATCCTTTCTAAATAAGCTGTAAAAATGTAAATATTATAGTAAAAAAAAAAACCTAAAATGTAATTTTCAAATTCACTTCGGGCAATAATTCCAACTTCCCAATCGCGCTGTCTCTTCTAATTGAACATTTCACAAGATTGTAGTAGAAGGAGAAACCCTAGCCATGGAGAAGGAGAAATCGAGCCGTAGACACAGAGATTCCGATTCCCATAGAGACAGAGAATTATCCAAAGACCACCATAAGCACCACCATCACCGGTCGAAGCACCGTGACGGTGAAGATGACCGCCACCGATCCGACGACAACTACCACAAGCGTCGCGAGCATTCTAACGACTTCGAGAAGTCAATTGACCATAGACATGAACGAGAGGGAAGTAGAGATCGAGAAAATCGGCACAGACGCGAGAAATCTTACGAGAAGGAGAGGTCTTACGAGAGAGAGGACTCTGTGGAGAGAAAACAGTCGGAAAAGAGGAAAGTGAGGGGGGACAGTGAGGAAAGGAATAGCAGAAGAGGGGATGAGAAAAGAGCTAGGATTTCGGAAGAAAACGTGAGGGGAAGTCGGAGATTTGAGGATAATAAGGTGAAGGAGGATGAACATTTGGATTATGCTAAGGAGAGGAAAGTACAAAGTAGTTTTGGGCGTGAAGATCATCCATTTGACAGCGGCCAGAGTAATGGGACTGGTCAAATTGCCACTGTAAGATCCTGTTTTCCTTTTTCCATCGTCTCTCGTTCTTTGAATTTGTTGGTTGTGTGGCTATATAATCGCTTTTGATGCTAGTGTTAATCTTCGTTGCCTAAAGGTAAATCCTGAAGTGATGCTTTGACATCATTGGAGCAAGGTACATATGTGAGTGTGTGTAAAATATAATTTTGTATGGGCAGGTATGTAGGATTTGGGTTTTCTGTACTGCTCCTTGTATTTGTTTATATGACGAAAGTTAAACGCTGAAGTCTGTGAAATACTCAATGCTGCTGCTTCGATATATTCTATTTATCTACCATGTATTAATAATTTTGATGAAAGCATTATTTGATCACACCCATGGATTTGGTTGTTTGTTTGCAGCAACCTGCTGTGTCTGATAGTGTCAATGCAAGAGTTTTCTATGTGAAGAAAGTTCTCTTAGATTCTGTATTTAGTTGCTGGATAGTTAAGTCGCTGTCAAGTGTTTTTTTGTGGCACATGATTATCAAAATAGAACATTCTTGGTCATCAGCACGAAGGTCTTGTTTTTATGTGCCATGTATAGTTATATTTCATCATATATCATTGATGATGGACAAAATGGTTGCAGGCTAGACATTTCAACTCATGGTGGTGGAAATCCCACTTTTTATGACTAGAGAAGATAGCCAAAGGATCTGGTAGTATTAATGTCATACCATGTGTTTTTTAATTGTATCCAAAAGAAATACTGGTATTTAGGTTTAGAAGTTGATTGAAACAATAAAATAGATATAAAAGCTTCATTGTATGTGTTTCAGAAAAGAAATCTAGGAACTTCTATGATGGAAGTACAATTGTAAAACAACATAGATAAGCTCTGCAGAGTTGGCCAAAACTATTTATGGAATACTAATATGCATTGTCATTAGGTATTTACGCAGATTAGAGACACATAAACATCTAGGTGCCATCGCTATATTATTTTCAGACTATGAAACTATAAGGGAGATAACCTGGAAACAGGGGCGGAGCCCTTTATGGTCCAGTGCAGGCACAGGCCTGCACTGAACTTTTGGGCCCAACCCAATCACTCTTAAATTTTTATTTTTTATTTATTTTTCTGTAAATTACACTGAGTACCCTATTTAAGATATTAATTCCAATATTACATTTCCACATTTTATACTCCAAACATACTGACATTCTATAAGTAACAAGTGAAAAACCAAATCCATGTATGCTCCCCGTGATATGCGCTCAAAAAATTAGATCACCGAATCTTTCCCTTTTCAAAATTCCTAATTTCAAACTTTACCTTTCCTTCAATTGCATTCAGATTCTGTTTTCCATTTTTAATTCCTAATTTCAAACTTCACCTTCTTCCTTGATTTATCCAAATTTCCTTCAATTGCATTCAGATTCTGTTTTTAATTGTTATCTTGCTGGAACCCTAATCCCTAAAGCCAAGATTTAACATCTTGTGTTCTTTGTTGTCCACCAAAGATTTGACTTCAACTCCAAAGAAGAGAGCAACCAAATCCTAAGTAAATTTATCTCTTTTTATTGGATATTATTTTTTTTCTTTTAGAATTATCATTTGTATATTTCCCCTCGAAAAAGCTATTTTGGTTCTTCTTTTTTTCTTTTTCTGAAAAATTTATGAATTGCTAGTTGAAATTTTATATTGCATGAAGATTGTTCTGGCACATTCTGGTGATTGCTATTTGCTATGTGAACTGCAATTCTCTAATACTTCAATGATTTGCTAGAATTTGTGTTTGGCATTTAAGCTATATTCGTCTTGAAAACTTTGATCTCGTGGAAATTTAATTTATCACAATTGGAATTGGTGTCTAATGTTCCCAATTTACTAACAAATTGTGTCATCTATAATATATATGATGATTATTTGATGGCCTCGGTTTAACATGGGTTGTTTTTAAATTCAGGCTACACTGGAATATTAGGATTCGTGAGGAACAAGTAATTTATAAATTAGGCCATTTTTAGTATTGTCGTAATATTGTTTTATATTTTTATCATCATTAAATCCATGGTAAAAAACTCAAAGTTCGGCGTTGATTAAATTGTGTCTGCACTGAACATTATTCCTAGCTCCGCCCCTGCCTGAAAACTAAGAGACGTGCTATGGGAAAGTGAACTTTGAGTCGAGATGTTGTGAGGACTTAAATTTCATTAAATTGTCTAGAACGATTTGAGATTCGATATACCTAAATAAGCCATGTTCGTCACCTGTACAATCCAATCACTGCTTGATAGCACTAAATGACCACGAGCGCTAGAAACCATTATAATTTTGCAAATGAATTTGGTTATGATTCATCTAATATAGATGGACTCTTGATTATGATAAAATGTAGTTCCAAAAAATTGTTTTTCTTGAATGCTTCTGATTTCTGTTTCAATTTTCAATTTTTTGATGGATGAGATTTTTCAATTAAAGAACAAGGTTTAATAGGTAATTAACATATATGAAGCACATACACGTCTGAGAGGCCGGAGTATCCGTGCCTGACTCATGTTGGAAATGCCACATGGCCTGTCCCCTTTTTCTTTTCTTCATTCAAGCAGCCGACACTCTGGGGATACGTCAGACACACGGGGCTGAAACATTTATCTAGAAAGAAAGGAGAATTGAAAAGAATATAAGATGATCTCAGCTAGGTTGATTGAGAAAATGAGAGGGAGAGAGATCTGGAACCCGCAAAGAGGTAGGCAAGGGTGGATCTGTGAATTGGGGGAGAAAAAGAGGCAGATGGATGAATCTGGACAAATTGGTACTTGTGTTTTAACGTCTGTTTTCTTTTAGGGTTAAAGAGGTTTTTGGGACAAAAAGGAATTTGGGCAGCTAGAGACAGTTATTGACCCAGAATGAGATACTGTCGCACGATTAACTTTAGTTGTAAAATGTCTCATTTAATTTTTCAATTTAATTGCAAAAAGACGTACAATTTAAAAGACTAACAAAATAAAAATGTGTTCCTACATTAAAAATTAAAAAATTAAAATATTTAAACATTATTTTATTCAGTGTGTCCCTTACATATCGTGTCCTAATTCTTTTGAAAATTTGGGTGACAGATTGTCAATGTTGGATAGGACGCGACCGGGCGTCCATGTCTGTGCTTCATAGATCAACATGTTCTGAAGAGAAGTAATAAATATAAATCTAGCTTTGTTTGGGAATATCTTTATTTTTACTCCTCTAAATCGTTTATTAATTGCGATATGGCAACAAGTGCTCTCACTGATTATTAACTCTTCATAAGTTAGAAACTTGGAATATAGTTCATATTTGTTTTTGGTTTGGTCGTACATGCAGTGTGCGTGCATGGGATTCTTGATTGTTATGCCCACTACCATTTGCTCATAAATACTTATGTTTCTCAATATCATTTTCACGTACTTCGTCTATGCTTTCTTTTTGGATGATTGTAACTGTATGTTCTTGGTATCTTTTTCTGTAGCTGGTATTCTCTAACTTGATGGTGGCATTTGTCCATTGAATTCTCTTTTCAGCAGAATAATTGCTAATCAGTGCGAAAGCCTTCTAAGTACCGACTATTTGGCCAATTCCCTTAGATGCACTCATAATGAATGTTACTGCTTTGAGCTGAGATACTTTTCTCCTTTCTTGCGGGCTACTTTGAGTTTTAGTTTGAGGATAGATCCTGAAATGAGTGCTGCTGCTGATTTTGACGTGACATGTTTGCCTTGAAATGCTTGATAATCTGAAGATTTACCTGACATATCTCTAACTTTTTCTTCTTACACATTTCATTGATTGGGTGGATTAAAATTTGTCATTTATGTACTTCCAGGGTGATGCGACTGGACCACTTGCTATGCCATCCGGCGTGGTACCTGACAATTCTGGGGATCACAGTCATTCTTCTGCTACCAAGGTGTCTCCCATTTATACTAGAAATGAAAATAAGGGAGTTAATATTAGCAGATCTCATGAGGTTCCTGATAAATTGAGTACAGATGGGACAGCAGCTTCAGATGCTGGCAAGAGTGGGGGCTTATCACTTGATGCTTTAACAAAAGCTAAGAGAGCTTTACAAATGCAGAAGGAGCTTGCGGAAAAGATGAAGAGGATTCCTTTGGTAAGTTGCTGCTAAGATAGTTAGCTGTTGGGCACTTTAGATGTTCAATAACCTTCGTCCTATTTTTTTAATTGTTGCATTGGTGAACTTAGTTTCTGGCTTAGCAAGAGATGATGATATGTTACAATAACTTTTCACTTGTATGCCATATCCACTTGTCCTTTTTCCCCATTGTAGTTGAACAAAACTGCTGGCTCAACAAGAGAGGGTAGTCCACAAATGGTTCAAAAGGAAGCTGCTAAAGTCCCACCCTCCAGTAAAGGTATATTGTCAACGCCTGTTGCTTTGGCAACTGCACCAGGTGTTTCTACTGGAGTAAATCCAAGCACAACAACTTTACCAGCTGTTGCTTCTGCGAACCCACCACCAAGTGGCTTACCTCATCTCACTGGGCTTACAACGCAAAAATATGAAGCTGTAAAACGTGCACAGGAGCTGGCTGCCAAGATGGGATTTCGACAAGATCCAGAGTTTGCTCCCCTGATTAATATGTTTCCAGGGCAGATGCCCCCTGATGTTACCATGCAGCCAAAGCCTGCCAAAGCTCCTGTTCTTCGTTTGGATGCACTAGGCCGGGAAATTGATGAGCATGGCAACGTGGTGAATGTTCCTAAAGCGAACAACTTGAGCACCCTAAAGGTATATGCATCCATAATCGATTTTTTCTCTCGTTTCTGGCTTTTTCTTACTCTTCACATATTTACCTTGCAGGTAAACATCAACAAGCAAAAAAAAGATGCTTTCCAAATTCTAAAACCTGAACTTGAGGTGGATCTGGAGAAAAATCCTCATTTTGATGCAAGGATGGGAATTGACAAGACTAAGCTTTTGAGGCCTAAGAAAATGAGTTTTCAGTTTGTTGAGGAAGGCAAATGGTCAAAAGATGCTGAAATCATTAAGCTGAAGGTAATCTTTTTTCTGTGTACTTTTATATATTAATTCTGCTTTACTTAATTATTGTGGTCCAATTCTGTTTACATCTTTCACAGTCGCAATTTGGGGAAGCAAAAGCCAAGGAACTAAAGGTAAAGCAAGCACAGCTGGCAAAGGCAAAGGCAGAGCCAGTTATGAACCCAAATTTGATAGAAGTAGGTGAAAGGATTATCACCAAAGAAAAAAAGAAGGATCCAATTCCCGAGGTGGAGTGGTGGTAAGTTGCCTCATTTTTTAATGGGTTTAGGATTTAGGATAATTTTTTAAGACTTCTTTTTGTGTTACTATTTACAATAAAAATCTAAGAAACTTGGTAAGAAATGCAATTTCAACAAAAATGTGTTTAAAAAACTTTACTGTAGTTTCTTGGTATACTTTTGTCAGGTAAAGTTTCTGTTGTAAGCAGTGGAATTTTGTTCTGGTCTAAAATATGCGCGTGTTGAAATTAAATGTGTTACATTTGTGCGCTGATCTATTCAATTTTAAACTCAATTGATATCCTTATAAGAGAGGTTCTCTTTTCCCTTTTTTCTCCTGTATGAGGAGAGAGTAATAATCATGATTGGCTACATAACTCTTAAGATTGTACATCTTTCCTTTTTAGGTCTTTTTGAAGGGTTGGGGTGGGGTAGAAAAGTTTTATCCCGTTGTAGTTGGTCATCAAATTTGGGGGCAAGAATAAATAGTATTTTACTGTCATTATCACATGTTTTGCTTCTCTAATATTTTTTTGTTCCTGATTTGCAGGGATGTGCCTTTCTTACAACATGGTAATTACAGTGATATTGCTGATGGTACTGTAACTGAAGATAAACTGAAAATGGAAAAAATTACCATATATGTTGAACACCCTCGGCCTATTGAACCCCCTGCTGAAGCAGCTCCTCCTCCACCTCAGCCCTTGAAGCTGACCAAGAAAGAACAGAAGAAACTCCGAACCCAGCGTCGTTTAGCTAGGGAGAAGGACAGACAGGAGATGATTAGACTAGGCGTGGTAGAGCCTCCAAAACCAAAAGTCAAAATGAGCAATCTCATGAAAGTTCTTGGTTCAGAAGCAACCCAGGATCCCACTAAGCTTGAAATGGAAATCAGAAGTGCTGCTGCTGAGCGTGAACAAGCTCACATTGACAGAAATGTTGCTCGTAAGCTCACTCCTGCAGAGCGCCGTGAAAAGAAAGAGAGGAAGCTTTTTGATGACCAAAGTATGCTGGAAACTATAGTGTCAGTTTACAAGATCAATGACCTCTCGCATCCTCAGGCCCGATTTAAGGTTGACATTAATGCCCAGGAGAATAGGCTGACTGGATGTGCTGTGATTTCAGAAGGGATAAATGTCGTCGTCGTCGAAGGTGGTGCCAAATCTATCAAGAGATACGGGAAGCTTATGCTTAGGAGGATAGATTGGACTGCTACTGTCGAGAAAGACGAGGAGAACGAAAATGATGACGAGGATAAACCTGTGAACAAATGTGTGCTCGTCTGGCAGGGGAGTGTTGCTAGACCAAGTTTTAATAGATTTTTCGTCCAGGACTGCAGAACTGAAGCTGCTGCATACAAATTCTTTTCAGATCATGGGGTTGCTCATTATTGGGATCTTGCCATTAATTTCACAGATGACCAAGTTTGATCTGAGAGTTCATTGTTGAAACTACATGTTTACATGAATGGATAACTGAAATTTCTAGTTTTTGCGGTACATTTTTGTTGTCATTCATAACCATTAAGTACTGGTTGAGAGTTCTAATTGTGATACACTTGCTCCGACTGCCATGATAAACAACCAAACGTTGTATCTTATAGATTATATTGCATGTACTTTTTTCTCTATTTTTCTTTTCCCCTAAATGTTGCTAAATTTTTATGATATATGATTTTGTTTTGGTACTTCTAATTGGAATTTGATACTTGTGTTGCCAGTTAGTTATCCTAGGCCTCTATTCAGTTTCTAATTGTCATAATGCCATTCGGTTCCTATGTTTCAAACTGTTTATGGGCTTTTGACTGCCAAAACTCTTCTATTTACAAGTATATGCGCTTCGAAGTGAAGCATACTTTATTCAGTGTGAAAACATGACAGAATTTCAGTGTCATCTTGCAATGGCATTTGAGACTTGTGGTTTGAAACCTGTAGTGGGATGATGCACTTGCCTCCATTTGAAATGTACGAGACTCTACTTATTCTTCACTTGACCCTATGAGACTTGTGTTTCTGAAACCTGTGTTAGAATTATCCTAATCATGATGGTATTTGTAGCATAGTAATAGCATGTTTGGTTTTAGTTTGGATTACATTGGATACAATGCTCAGTGGCGTGCAAAATTATTTAACTTATGTTTGGCCTCAATTTATTTAAAATCTCAATTTTTCAAAATTCATTTTCAATTACACGTTTTCCCATAAAATAATTTTATACGTAAACCATAATTTTTTCTTATTTTTTAACCACAAATTTTTCAAAAAATCATCATTCAAAAACACATTTTTCCCAAAAAGACGGGGCCGAACATGGTCTTATTAAGCCAATGTTTGACAACCATTTCATTTTCAATACATTTATACAATAAAATATTTTATACGTAAATCCAAATTTTTTCATTTTTAATTACTATTAAGAACTCCATCTTCTCAAATAATGACTATCAAACAAGGGCTAAACATGCACTGAATATTTGTGGAGTGAAGTCGCACACTTACCCAACAATAGCAGGATAAACAAAAAGAAGTTCCTTTTTGTTGTGCACCTAAATTGGATATTTTCTTTTGAAGAAGTAATACATAAAAGAACTTGTTTGAAAAAATTTGAACATTGTGAAGTGGCTGTGAGCTTATTGTAACAAGCCAACAATGGAATGCGTGTACAAGAATACATGAAATATTGCATTTCATAAATTTAAAGAACTCCCCTATCAATGCCATGAAATTAATTATTTGTGTTGGGTTTTGATATCCAATAAATCCGGGTGATGAAATTAAATCGGTTTTGTTGGATTATACTTCATAGGTCTCGGCCGATGAGTGAAGTGAAATGTCGATACCACAATCGAACGAACCATTCCTCCAACCTATTATTGGGTCATTTGAAGTAGCCCAATTTATTGGTGCTGCTCATGGCCCAACCCAATCCCTTGGACTGCTTGATTGATTGTTAGCCCACTTATCCATTTTGTTATTGGGCTCCTTTGTTATTGACCTAAAAGCCCACATCTTTCCTTAACCTATTTAATTGGTTGTCTATTACTATTGTGGGTGTGTGAAAATGTTGGAGCCGTGAGTTTACGAGAGGGGAGAGTTGCTTTGTGCTTTTGGGTCTTGCTTTGTGCTAACCGTGGTTTCTCCTTCTTCTCTAGCCTTTGTGGCATTTTCTTGAGGCCGCCATACATTTCACACCTTGTCCTTGGTGGGCAAAACCGTGAGCAACCGGGGTTTGGTAGCGCGAGAGGTTGAGGTTTTCGGTTGTTGGTTGGTGGTGTCGACTTAGTGGTTTAATCAGAGCTCGGTTCTTGGTGTTATTGAAGGCCCAAAACTCACAATTAGAAATCCAAAAGGAGAACTACATAGAAATAGCTTTCAACCACAATTTCAGAGGAAACAGAAACGTGGCAATCTTAATTTCTTAAAACTCTTTTTCAAGAAAAAATTTAACTAGACAAATAATGCAAGGAAAAGCAACAAATCTCAAAAATGGACAAGGATGCACAAGTTTTCACAAAGATAACCACGAATTTTTCAAACCATATGATAAATTTCGGATAAACGTACTAAAATGCAGTTATGATAAGAGTATACAAGCGTTGTGCTACTCAAGTATTCCTATAATGACCGAACCTCGTGCCCAAGTCGTTATGTCATATGTACAGTCTATTTTGAAGGGGGTAAGAAGGAAGATATTTTCCCAAAAAGCACAATATGTATAACATAACTGCTTAGGCACAATGTTCAGATCATTACAAGAAGTGCGATTTTTTTATGACGATACATACTATTCGCTTTGAGAGGGCATCTGTCATCTTAAGCCTCAGGGCTTTCTATCTAGTCTATCAAGATTCAAAGTGAAGACTTCTGTCTAACGAGAGACTTAAATTAAATTGTGGTACCAATTGTTACAATTTCCCTCGAGGAAGTTGAGGGAAAAAATATCCCTTTAATTCCTTATTTTGCTTGCTCGTTTTCCTCTATATGTTCTCTCTCTCTTAAACTTTTACAACATATTCAATAACGCGAGTTAGTTATTACCAAAGATATCCTTCGAAGTGAAGGAGCCAAGATTTTTGTGGGGAGCAGAACATGGTCAAGTGATCGAAATATACATGTATTTATCTATGTATTAAAGAAATATAAATTCTTTTTACATAGATATTTAAAAAAAGAAAAAGAAAATTGCTGGTGGTCACCCACCGCCCTTGTAGATCCGTCTCTTACTGCCGAACCATTTCGCGTGGCGTGAAGGAAATATGCGTTTGATATTTTTGTTATCCTAATTCCTAAGAGAATTTCAAACTATACAATTGTATGGTAAATAAGTGACCAAATTTTAAGTGGTGAAGAGTAGAGCTAAAATGCTAACCAATTGAATTCCATGCAATCTTTAATTGCCACGTGGCAGATGGGCAATCTTGATTGTGTGGCTTTTAAGAATGCAAAGGCCAATCTCTTTGTTTTGTCTACAGTCTACACTCTTCCTAACCTGATATAAAAGTCCCTCTCATTCACTTCAAACCAGCAACTCCGACCCACCGCTCAAAGCTCTCTTATCTCTCTACGACCCCTTACTCAGCTGTGGCATCATCTACAGTAATGGCAGCTGCCATCTCGACTGTCGGAGCTGTCAACCGTGCACCGGTACGTAATTTCTTCGCATCTTGTTCAATATTGCGTACTAATCGGTTTCTTAGTTGTTTATGGCATATTTGGTACAGAATATAGAGCTTAAAGAACATCAATTATAAAAAGGATTCTAATTTGTTTTCTTTGTTAACATTATCCAGTGCTGTCCAGTTTACTTTAGTAATAATAACAATTTTCTACTTATTTTCTTGGTTTCCTTTGGACAGTTCTTGTTCACTTCAAATAAAATTAAAAGAGCCATGTTAAAACAGAAGTTTTCTTGTGTGTTTCAAGATTATTTGTGCGTTTTGCTTTGTGGGCTTGTCGTTAATACGAAGGATGCATATTTTTTCTCTAAATTTGTTCAACACGCGCTTGGATTCAGCTATTCGTCAAAAGTACGTGTATAATTTCATAAACGTCTTCAACAGAAATATTGGAGAATATAACAATTAGCTCTTTACATTTATGTAGTTGAACTTGAATGGAGCTGCTGCAGTCCCCAGCTCCTCCTTCTTGGGCAGCAGCCTGAAGAAGGTGAACTCAGCATTAATCCCGAAGGTTTCATCCGGAAACTTTAAGGTTGTAGCTGAGATTGACGAGAAGAAACAGACAGACTCCGACCGATGGAAGGGTCTTGTCACCGATATTTCCGATGACCAACAGGATATCGCCAGAGGAAAGGGTATGGTGGATTCACTCTTCCAAGCTCCCACCGGAATGGGAACCCATGACGCTGTCATGAACTCCTATGAGTACATCAGCCAGGGGCTTCGAACGTAAGAACAAACTGTTGAATTATTTCGTTTTGAACTGTTATAGAGGAATAAATTAATTTAAGTATTGTTTTTAATATAGTATGTTTTTATCTTTATTCGATGTGAGATTTTAACTCTTAATATGTCTCGCAAGATTGTGGTTCGTTTGAGTAGACCAATCTTGAAGTCTTTGTGTTCGTTTTTAAGTTTTAATCAGATTGAATTACTGTTTAATGGACTCCAGTACCATATTAATACTCACATTCCCATTTTAAAAGGTCAATATTTTTAAGAGGAGCAACACAAGCACTTATAAGTGAATATATATTTTCATTTTTATGCGATATGAGATCTTATCCCTGAATATGACAAACTCATTTTTCGTAAATAGATGATGATTATATGATTTCATGTTAAACCACCCAATATAGAAACTTTTATTGTTAATCTAATACATGCACAATTTTTATAAATGAGTGACAAGTACTAAGTACATGAATTTGGGTCTACTCTAAGCTAGACTCTCAATAGCTCCATATTTGCGCAACGAGATAAAATTTGGGAACTAGTGGCTCATCCGACTTGGAATTTTTTCTTAACTTTTATTTATTGCATATCTTCTTCAAGATTTATCAGTGCTCGACTTCGATCATAATCTGATGTTATTGATGCTGCAGATACAATTTTGACAACACCATGGAAGGATTTTACATTGCTCCTGCCTTCATGGACAAGCTTATTGTTCACATCAGCAAAAACTTTATGACCTTGCCGAACATCAAGGTTACATTTCCTTCATTAAATCCATTATTATAAGAAAACCCAACTTAACGCAATCAGTTCGTTCATCTTACGACCATGTTTTGTACCCAGTATCAGACAACATAAGACTCGATAATTACTTGTCATTCATTATAACAAATCAGTGTTGTACAGTCCGTCTTACCGAATGAAACGCTTTGTTTTACAGGTTCCTCTTATCTTGGGTATTTGGGGAGGCAAAGGTCAGGGTAAATCATTCCAGTGTGAGCTTGTCTTTTCTAAGATGGGAATTAAGTGAGTTCATATTCCATGATTGATCATGTTCGAAATTTATGTTAATCAGATTTTGATCTTAAAATTAATTACTATGATACAGCCCAATCATGATGAGCGCTGGAGAATTGGAAAGTGGAAATGCAGGAGAGCCTGCTAAGCTCATTAGGCAAAGGTACCGTGAAGCAGCCGATATCATCAAGAAGGGGAAAATGTGCTGCCTCTTCATTAACGATCTCGATGCCGGCGCTGGTCGTATGGGAGGCACCACCCAATACACCGTCAACAACCAGATGGTTAATGCCACACTCATGAACATTGCTGACAATCCGACCAATGTGCAACTCCCTGGTATGTACAACAAGGAGGAGAACCCCCGTGTTCCGATCATTGTGACTGGTAATGACTTCTCGACACTGTACGCTCCACTCATCCGAGATGGTCGTATGGAGAAATTCTATTGGGCTCCCACCCGTGAGGACCGTATTGGTGTTTGCAAGGGTATTTTCCGAACTGATAATGTCCCTGACGAGGATGTTGTCAAGCTTGTTGACACCTTCCCTGGCCAATCCATCGGTAAGCTTCGTCTAAAAGGCTAAAACAGTACTCTTTCTAACTCGTGCATTTTCAATAATTTCTAGTCGCATCTAGTACTGCATATTAAACACGTCATGAGAGTTATCTTGTGAGTTTTGCAGATTTCTTTGGTGCTTTGAGGGCAAGGGTGTACGATGACGAAGTAAGGAAGTGGATCGGTGGAGTCGGAGTCGACAACATTGGAAAGAAGCTTGTGAACTCAAGGGAAGGCCCCCCAACATTCGACCAGCCCAAGATGACTGTCGAGAAGTTGCTCGAGTATGGTAACATGCTTGTCGAGGAGCAAGAGAATGTGAAGAGAGTACAATTGGCTGACCAGTACTTGAGCTCTGCTGCACTTGGAGACGCTAACAAGGATGCTATAAAGAGAGGAACTTTCTACGGTTAGTTTTCTTGCTCTTAGAAGCCTTAATAGCAAGTTCGCGTCCATAGCTAAAAGGGTTAAAAATGGCTCACCTAAGATTTTTTTTAAAAAAAAACCTTCTTTAATCGAACTTTTAACGAAATGAAAATAGTTAATTAATTATTTTCCTATTGATGCAGGGAAAGCAGCCCAGCAAGTAGGTCTTCCAGTGCCTGAAGGTTGCACTGACCCAAGTGCAAATAACTTTGATCCAACAGCCAGAAGTGATGATGGAAGCTGCTTGTACACAATTTAGACCATATTTTTTCTGTATTTTGGGTGCTGGAAATTATTTGAAACTCTGGTTTTAATGGATTGTAATCCTAATCCTATGATTTTGTGTTGTGTAATTACAATGGGCCTTTTGACATGAAGTTGATTAGGTATTAACTCTGATGCACATAATCTATGGGTACCAAACTTTATGGGAAAAGTTTATGGTTCAGGGGTTTACTTTCAGCAAATTAAAAATTAGGTACCAAAGTTTTAAATTACAAAACTCAGGTTTTTCTTAAATTAGTTAATTACATTTCAAAATTATTATATTAAATTAAATATTTAACTGTAATATAATAAAATTAACCCATCCCACCCCACCCCCTCCCACCCCACCCCACCCCCATTGCTCCGGCGACTACCATTGCTCCGACAACTACTCCGGCAGCACTTAATTCCGGCGATTGCTCCGATCCGGCGACTTTTTCNTAGGTCACAGTCACCCAAACACCCTTCCCCCATTCCAGTACATGACCACACTTTGTCACATGTCACAGATCAACCAAATAAATAGTCAGACACTTCGACCCATCCGCCGTACCCGTCTCCCAATCACAGTACACCAACAATACTTGGTCACAGGTCACGGAACGACCAAATAGTTAACAATACCAGGTCACAGAACGACCAAATAATTGGTCACACACATCGTCCGATCCACCACCAACCCTAATCCACCCACCAACAATATCAGCCCAAACCACCACCAACAGATCCGACACACACAGAGATCCGACACCAACAACAGATCCGCCATCAACAAAAAAAACCCCAAAAACTACCTCCACCACCAACCATAGATTCACAATCACCAACCACTGAATCACAGATCTACAATCAGTGTAAAACCCCAAATCCAAAACCACCACAAATCACCGTCCACCACAGATTCGACCGGCTGCAGCGTTTCAGCGCTGCCCGTGGCTGCAGCGAAGCAGCGGCGTCGCTGCAGCGTTTCTGTGCAGCGACGCTAGGTGACAAGTGCTGCTGCACAGCAGTGGGCTAGCTGCTGAGTAACGCAGCAGCAGGGATAGGTTGCAGTCCCAGCGATTTCGACCGGCGCTACTACTGGGTGGCCGGAATGGAGGAGGTGGCCGGCGGTGGTGAGGGAGGGGATAAGGTGGCGACGGGTTGAGAGAAATGGGGAGAGGGTTAGTTTAGGTTTTGATAGAATTAGGGTTTTATATTTAAAATAAATTTGGGTGGGGTAGGTAGTAGGGTGAGGTAGGTAGGTTATTTTAATTTTATAATATTATTATTAATTAAGATGATAAATTTTGAAAATTGAAAAAATAAAGGAAAAATCTGATTTTTAGAAAGTTAAAATTAAATAACTGGTCTAGTGTAATTTTCCCCAAACTTTATAGAAGTAAGCTTCATATTAAAATTGAAGTTTGAGCCCAACTTAATACTTGAGGGCCTTGGGCGAAAAAGCTTTAAGGGACCTTAACTTTTTTTTTTTTTTTTTGGTGAAAAAATAAATAATACAAAGTACTATGGGAAAATTCCATCATTTCATTAAATAAAAAAGGGAAATTTGTACTTCTCATCCTGAACCTTTGCGGGATGTAACAAATTAACACTCAAACCTTTTTTAAGCATAATTCATTCTCAAACTTTCAATATTGTAGCAAAACTCATCATTTCCTTTATTTTGGCTATTAAATGATAGATATGTCATTCTCTTTATCCCTACTATATTAAAAGTGTGAACCTGCCGATCACTGTTTATTTATGAAGCTTTTTTATCCCTAATTTATCCCTACCCACAATTTGGATTTACATGCCGACAATTGTTGACTTTCAACCTGTTTATATATTATGATATGAATCTTTTTTAATCCCAATGCTACCATACTCATGATTTGGATATTTCCTCATGTATTGGATTTTTTCATATGCAGTTTTTTTAATCCCAATGCAACCTTAGTCGTGATTTGGATTTTTCCTCATGCATTGGATTTTTTCCTACCACACATGCCAACAATTATTGACTTGTTACCCTTCTCTTCTCCCAGTGAATCCACCGTTTATATGCCTACTATTATTTGTTCTCCAATTTGTTTTATCATTTTCTTGCTACCTAAGTTGCCCCGTTGATTACTATTCATTTATGTATCTCTTTTACTATTCATTTAATTATTGACGACGATTTGGATTTCTGCCCATCTATAGCCACAATTATTGACTTCACAACCCACTTTGCATTCGCGTTGGCTCTTGAAGGATGCTTGAAGGAAAATGGCAATTTATTTTATACGTTTTGCCCATAATATCAATTCCAACTTTGCTGCGTAAATTCCCTACCGACTATTAGAATATTTTGTGCAAAAAAAAAAAATTGTTGAACTAATAAAGAAAATTGAAACTGCAAAATATTATATATACCTCTTCCTAACTGTTTGTATATAGAATTGAGAGATACGTTACAATTTGCAACTTCTCCTACACTTTCTCTGTTTTAGCCTATAACAATTATTTTATTCTCTGCTCTTCAAATCCTCAACTTCTCAAGCATATAAGAATACTGCGAGGATTTTGATATTTCTATTGCAGTCAAGAAATCTGTTTACATCTAACGTAGGCATTCTTGGGTATAATATAGCCAGTCGAAAACTGCGAGATAAATTGGATTTTGTTGATTCCAATTTGTATGCAACTGCAGAAGTAGACATCCGGAGGTATGTGTATTCTCAAAAAAATATTAAAAAGAAATTTCGTTTAACCTATATAGCTTGCTTACCAGTTTCACTTATTTTTATTATTTTTCCACATATGCGAAACAATTAAGTATGTTAATATATTTCATAAGAACTTTTATTCCCACTTATAAAGAAAGTTTATAAAGAGAGTTATACGTCAACTTTTTTTTTTTTAATTTTTTGTTCATTGCTTTTAGCCTCAATTATTCCATAAGATTTATCGTACTGTTGTCATGGATGTTCCGAATACAAGTTTCGACGGAGTTACTGCTCCTTTAAATTTCGAAATAATGTCGTATCGCCAACAACAAATCCAACGGCAAAGAGAGTGGCGAAAAAGGCTTCGCACGGGAAGTATTGATCATCGTAAAAGAATATCTTATCTTATGTCACTTGGACATAATCTATCTGATGCTGATGTATCTCATCCGGACATAATAATTCTAATCCTGTGAGAATACAATATCCTACACAGCACATCATGATTTCCAAGATTTTGAAGCTTCTACTTCAAATAGAGATTTACGTAATATTTGTACATCTGTATTTGAAAGTTATAAACATACCGAGCACTTCATATGTATTACCTACATGCGATAATTGTAAACATTGTGGTGCAAAAAAATTTCACAGGGAAAGCAAAGGCTTGTGTTGCTCCGATGGAAAAGTTTATATTTCTATGTCTGATTCACCCGCTAAACTGTACAACTTATTTACGTCCAAAGAACAAAAAATAAGGAATTTAAGAAGCTTGCAAGAGACTATAATAACCACTTTGCTTTCACTTCATTTGGTGTTAAATACGACAGAAATCTTTTCAAATCATACAAAGGTATTTACATGTTTAGGGTTCAAGGCCAAATATATCATTATGTAAATAAACTTGAGCCACAAGACAGTAAGCCTTATTATATGCAATTATAATTCTATGACACAAATAATGAACTTAAAAATCGTATCGAAATTTCAGAAAATTTTGTTCAACATACTTTACTTGTTTTAATTGAAATTTTGAAGACAAATCCATAGAGTAGATTTTTCAGGTCTTTAGCTAATATGTCTAACTTGCAAGATCATAAAATACATATAAAATGCGATCTAGGACTTGATCAACTTGTTTTTAACACTCCTATAGTATCTCAAGTGGTTGCTGTAAGCCTGTATGTGTCGAAGATGATGAGAATACTAATTCTCGTGTCCGTAATATTATTATATATGGTCATTCTAATGATATACATAGAGTTCATTATTATTATGGTTGTTATGATCCTTTACAGTATCCATAACTTTTTTTTGTATGGAAAATCTGGTTGGCATGAAGGCATTGGGAGATCTACGACAAGCCATAGTCAACTTGCTCATCAGTTTGTTGCTTTACCTTCAACGATTATTTCTGCAGCTGAATTTATTGAACATGAAAATGAAGGTTTGTAAATACATTTTGTTCTACATTTCACTTATTTATATGATGCACATGTTATAAATGAATACTCATTTTGTTTTTGGTAGTGCTTCTTGGAACTAAGCACGGATGTCAGGTTTCTTGCCGAGAATATTATTCATACAAACTACAAATTCGGCCTTCGAGTAAGTCTGTTTCGCTCCATAATGGTGTTACAACAATATGTTATACACATGTACGTTAAGATTGAAATTGCAAGATTAGACTATTTTCGTAATAACCAAAAACAAATTCGAGTGAAACTTTACCAAGGTATTGTAGATAGCGTTCAACAGGGAGAGACGAGAGGTTGTAACATTGGAAGAAAATTTATTTTACTACAGTTTTTTACATGTGGCCCTAGAGATATGCTAAAGAGATATATGGATGCAATGACTACTGTGCAGCGTTATGAAAAACCCGATATATTTTTTACTATCATATGTAATCCAAATTGGTTAGAGATTAGACAAGAACTAAAACACGATGACGAGATTCAAAATCGTCCAGATCTTATTGTACGTATATTTAGAGCAAAATTAGAATAATTGAAAAATGATTTATACAAAAAACATATTTTAGGGCATGTCATTGCACACATTTATGTTATCGAATTTCAAAAAAGATGTCTTCATCATGCACATTTTCTATTGATTTTCAAGCATGACCATAAACTTTGTTCTGCGGTAGATGCTGATAAAATAGTTTGTTGTGAGATTTCTGACCAAAACAAATATCATTATCTTCACTCTGTTATTGTCAAACACAATATGCATGGCCCTTGTAGGGATTTAAATCCAAAAAATTGTATGTATGGATTCTAATAAAAAATGCAAA